AACTATATGTTGTAATTTGTTTATTTATTAAAAAAAAAAAAACTAACAAAATTATCTTCATATAATTAAAGGATAAAAGCTGTAATATAACAAGATCACTAAATACCCAAACATTAATATTTCAGAACCGTTTTTTTTAGAACAACATCAATAACACAGGTTCATAGTTTCATCATAACCTCATTTGTTACTTATAAATGAATACTGATTCAAAAGAATAACAGATTACTGGATTGAATAAAGTTAAAACTTTCAAAAGGCTAATATTTACAAACATGTATAATAAACTGAAGAAAAAAAGAATAAGGAAACAAACCATCTTACCAGGAGGCGCCACCATCCTCTGCCATTTCTGGAACAGTGTAGTTTTTAGACAATCTCTAGGACTAAGGCCAAAAGCTCTATGGCGAGACATAAGCTCTTGCATGGGTTCTAGGATAACGCACAGCTGAACACCAAAGAAAAAACGCAATACAGTACATTCTTTATTTCAGCAGATAAGGATTCTGTTGTACCATATACTTGTAAAAAGTTTAGTAAATAAGAAAAATAAACTCATTCGTACACAGTAAGGATTGTAAGGTTAAAAATGTCTGTCAGTTTTAGAATATCGATTTTTTTTTGGATATTGCACGACTTTAACATACAATGCTAGTTTTTAAGTCTTGACACCTTTACAGTCTGAATACTATTACACACGTCTACAAGTCTTGACACCTTTACAGTCTGAATACTATTACACACGTTTATAAGTCTTGACACCTTTACAGTCTGAATACTATTACACACGTTTATAAGTCTTGACACCTTTACAGTCTGAATACTATTACACACGTTTATAAGTCTTGACACCTTTACAGTCTGAATACTATTACACACGTTTATAAGTCTTGACACCTTTACAGTCTGAATACTATTACACATGTTTATAAGTCTTGACACCTTTACAGTCTGAATACTATTACACATGTTTATAAGTCTTGACACCTTTACAGTCTGAATACTATTACACATTTTCTTCACTTGCATTTTATGATAAAAATGACTATATTAGGACAGCTATTTGTAAAATATATTGAAAATGCTTAATTTTTGAGCCATGAAGTAAAGAAAGAAGCATTGCAGGAAACAACTGTAACAAGTCTACGAAAAAATTATTTTCAATACTCCTTTTAGCTGTAAGATAAATACAGGATAGAAGTTCTTTACTTCAGAAACTGTAAAAAATATAAACCATTCTCATGAAAATAAAATAAAATTTGAGACTATGATTTTTGCCTACTGGATTAATGCTTTAGGTAATGAAACTACTTTGTATATTAAATGCTGCAAATCTCAGTTCTCTGGTGGGTCCACATAGAAACTTAGTTTATTTTCAACCTGTTCTTCACATGATTTCTAAAATCAAACCAATATTTAACATCAAGCAGAAATTATCTGTACTGACAACCGTTTTTCATGATGTATGATTCCTATAAACAAACAAGGATTCAGAAAGTTAGCACAGGAATGTTCATACTATACTTATGATGACCAAGTTGTGTTATCGTGGCCGCTTGTTAACTACATGTAAACTGATGTGTCTGACTTGGATATAAGCATATGTAATATGAAAAAGATGTAGGTCCTACAACAACCATCATTTTAAATGGTTTTTGTAATAACTAAAATCACACCGTTAACCCATTGACTGCCGATTTGACATAAAGGGTACGGTCCGACTCCCGCAGTTGAAAGTGAGTGTGCTGTACACAGTGTACAGCTGGTACACTCAATATTTAGAGCAGGAAAAAAAAAATCATAACATGCACAATGCAGGTTAAATTTATTGTACGTTTGAAGGACTGTTTTCTTATTTAAAATATGTATATGCAACATTAAATTAAGTTCATTTACAATTACACAGAGAAATAAATTTGGTTACTATTCTTTATTTCTACTAGCCAAACTGTAAATGAACTTACAAGTCTAATTTCATTTTTTATTCTAGAACATTCTTATTTCACAAAGTATGTATACTACAAGATGCACAGACTACTACAAAGATCTTACATAAAACATCACACTAACACATTGTCAGAACCAGAGAACACACAATATTTACGGTAGTAGTAGATGTTTTTTTTTTTTTTAATACAGTTTCACTCCATGTTTGATACGTTGTATTATTCAGTTTTTAAGAGTCCAGTACACATCTAAATTTTTCACTACAAATGTCTTGCACCATAACTATTAAATAGTTCCAACACTACTTGTAACAACTTGTTTAATTTTCAAGTCATGTCACTTATATATATATATATGCATTATCCCCTTCAAAAAGGGATATTTTAAGTGTTTGAGAAATTTCCAATGTTACCCAAAATGCAGTGGCAAACATCCATAAAGACTTGACCTTACTTAACACCTACCTAATCAAAATTAGGGTTTCTAGTGATTACCGTTTGATTATTCCAGCTATCCAATTAATTGAAATATTTCTACTGTTTTTTTTGTTGTTAAATGTAAAGCTACATAATAAGGGGGGGGGGGGGGGGGG